TCGTCACAGTGTTGGTTCGGACCATTGCAAGTCGTAGAGCAGGTCACTGGGTGGGGGTAGAGGTGGTGCAGCGGGGAGAGGGGTGGTGGGGAGGTGAAATGAGGGGTGGTGGGAGTCAAGATGAAGACGACAAGATACTTTATACGAGATGATGGGAACGCATGAGAGTAGTAAAGCCATTGGCAATGGAGGCAGCACATCAGCACGCCAAGTCAAGGTAGTATCACCCACCGATTTCTTCAGGTGGAAGTTGCGTGAAGACACACACAGCACCCTGCAGCTCCCAACCGGGGGGACACTCGTTCACAGGCCAGAAGCACGATCCATCCGACTGCAGCTGGTAACCGGGGGCACACTCGATGACTGCAGGTTGGGGGCGGAGGCACGTCCTGTAATATGACTGCAACTGGAAGCCCTCGTCACACTGGCAGGCAGCCCCGTTAAGCACGGGGACACACTGGCTGTTGGCACCACAGTTCTGAGTCACACAGGCATCTGCTCGGCGGGAGAGGCACAAAAGAGGGGAGAGAAGATAAAAAATTCAGAGCAATCGCAGCAGCACCCAGAGTAGCGCACAGCAGCACAGAGCAGAGCACAGAATCACATAGAGTGGCACACAGCAGTTTCATCACGTACCAGTGCACGTTTTGCCATCGTCCTGCAGCACAAAGCCCTTATCACACACGCAGACAGCCCCATCACCAGAAGGAAAGCAATGGCCGTTGGCACCACAGTTCTGGATCTCATAGACATCTGCATGGCGGGGGGTGGGGGGCGAGGCAGAAAAGAAGGGAGAAGGGGTGGACGAGGGCACATGAATCTATGAGGAAACACAGCAGCACACAGAGAAGAGCGAAAGAAGAGAACAGAGTAGCACGGAACAGGACATAATCTTAAAGAGCCTAGCAAGATCCTTGTCCGAGCAGCGCACAGCCGGAAGGTTCAGCACGTACCAGTGCAAGTCCTGCCATCCGCCTGCAGAGCAAAGCCGGATTCACACACACAGGACGCCGCTCCAGAATCGTCCTTGATGCACCGGCCGCTTGCACCACAGTTCTGAGCCACACAGGTGTCTGCATGGGCAGAGGGATGCGGGAGGGGAGTGGAGGCGCAGAGGGGAGAGGGGTGGAGTGGAGCGGACGTGAAATAAGGGGCAGTGGGGTTCAAGATTGATGACGACAAGATACTTCACACGAGATGCTGGAAACTCGTGATAGTAGTGAAAGCATTGGCGTAATAGGCAGCACAGCAGAACTTGAAGGTAGCATCACCCACCAGGTGCAGGTGGGGCGCTGATGCATGTCCTGTTATCCGGCTGCAACTTAAAGCCAGGGTCACACACACAGAACGCCCCGTCGCTACCACAAAAGCACTGGCTGTTGGCACCGCATTTCTGGATCTCACAAATATCTGCGTGGCGGGTGCGGCAGGAAAGGGGGGAGCAGAGACATGGATTTAGGAGCAATCACAGCAGCACACAGAGAAGCGCACAGGAGTACACAGAATCAGATAGGGCAGAACACTGCACACAGAATCACAAAGAGTAGCACAAAGCAGAGGGAAGCACATAGAGCAGCACACATCAGTTTCATCACGTACCCTTGCACGTCCTGCTATCGTCCTGCAGCACAAAGCCAGGGTCACACAAACAGGTAGCCGCTTTACAAGCAGGAACACAATGACCGTTGACACCACAGTTGTGGATCACACAGACAACTGCGGGGTGGGGGGGGGAGGAGGGAGAGGGGGGTGGACAAATAAAAAGGGAGAGGAGGGATTGGGGGAACATGAACTTATAAGGAAACTCAGTAGCACACACACAGAGTAGCGCAAAATAGAAAACAGAGCAGCACGCAACAGCACAGAGCAGCAGGAGGTTTAACACGTACAAATGCACGTCCTGCCATCCGCCTGCAGCGCAAAGCTATCTTGACACACGCAGGACGCCACTCTAAGTCCGTCCTTCATGCACCCACCATACACACAGTCCTTGATGTCGCAGGTGTCTGAGTGGTGGGAGAGGGGATGAGGGATGGGAGAGCGGAGGGGTGAGGAGTGGAGGATATTAGCGAGGATGGTGTAAAAGGGACATGAAATTAGGACGAACCACAGCATTACCACAGAGTAGCACACAGAGTCACATGGAGTAGAACACAGCACAACAGTTTCGTCACATACCTTTGCACGTCCTGTTATCCGCCTGCAGCACATAGCCAATGCTACATTCACAGGACGCCGCTCCAATTTGGTCCTTGATGCACCGGCCGGGCACACAGTTCTGGATCTCGCAGGTGTCTGGGTGGGGGACGGATGGGGGAGGGGAGGAGAGGAGAGAGGAGTGGGCAAGGATGGTGTAGGAGGGACGTGAACAAGGAGAGAGCAATAAAGAGGAGTGTGAGTAGGACGTGCACGAGTGTGGATACAGACGTGAAATCAATCAGGGGGGGGAGTGGTGGAGGGAAGGAGAGAGGGAAGGAGGAGCGGAGGAGTGAGGAGTGGGAGAGGGAATCGAGAACAATTATTCGGCTAGTCGGAAAGATGATGCGTACCAATGCAAAGGGCTTTCACCATCTGGAAGCCCGTGTTGCAAACACAGGATGCAACGCCTTCACCATCCTTCACACAAGCAGCATTGGCACCACAGTTCTTGATGACGCACGTATCTGAATGGAGGTGAGGAGGGTATGGAGGTGGGAAGGAGAGAAGAAGTCCTGTGAGGAAATGCAAGAGGGAAGAGAAGGAGAGAGTAGAGGGAAGGTGAGAGGGAGATGCAATGTGAATAGAGAGCTAGTGAGACTATTGATAAAGCTAACCTGAAAGGTTCAACACACACACCCTTTGCACGGGTTGTGTAGCACTGCACAGCACGCACCAGTGCATGTGGAATTGTCGGGCTGAAGATCAAAGCCAACGTCGCAAACGCAGGACGCCACTCCTGCACTGTCCTTGATGCACTTGCCATTGACGCCACACTTCTTTAGCACACAAGTGTCTGGGCGAGTGGAGAGCAGGGGGGAACGAGTAGGGTGAGAGGGAAAAGAATAAGAGAGGGGCACATGGTTTACAATAGCCCCTCACTTGATAAGACTGATGCAAGACTGGTGTGCCTCTGTCATCAAGTACTGGCGCGCATCATCATGGCACTTCTTAGCACGTTGAAGCACAAGACGGCATCTCATAAGGCATGGCACATGGCACATGGCAATGTCATGGCATCTCACAAAGCATGGCACTTACCAGTGCATGTGACACTATCAGCCTGCAGCACAAAGCCCGTATCACACACACAGGACGCCGCTCCAGTGACTTTGTCCTTGCTGCACGTGCCGTTCACACCACAGTTCTGAATCTTGCAGGTGTCTGGGTTGGGGGGGATGCAGAAAAGAGGCAAGGGGGGGTACGAAATTAGGAGGAATCACAGCAACAGCCAGAGTAGCGCACAGAATCACATGGAGTAGAACGTGGCATCACTCAAGGCATGGCACATGGCATGGCACAAGGCATGGCGCAAGGCATGGCACAAGGCATGGCACAAGGCATGGCACATGGCATCTCACAAGGCATGGCACAAGGCACATGGCATACCGGTGCATGTGACGCCATCAGCCTGCAGCACGAAACCAGTGTTGCACACGCAGGACGCCACTCCTGCAGCGCTCCTGATGCACTTGGAGTTACTCCCACACCTCTTGAGCACACATGTGTCTGGCAAGGAAGAGAAGGGTAAAAGGCAGAGTGGGTGGTACGGAGCGGACAAGCCTTGCTTACGAGGTGCCATGGGCGTAAAGGAACCAAGGATGGAGGTTTTGCAGGGCTATGTGTCAAAAAGTTGCCATGCCATTCCTGACTCTTGAGTCAGCTACAAGGATGACGAGTGAGATCAAGAACCGCATGGAACCACTTTGTGCTCAGCGAACGCACCAGTGCATGTAGTCTTGTTGGCCTGCAGCACAAAGCCAGGGTCACAAATACATGACGCCACTCCAGCACTGTCCTTGATGCACTTGCCGTTGACGCCACACGCCTTGAGCGTGCATGTGTCTGGGGAAGGGGGGGCAGAGGGGAGGGAGTTGGGTTGGGAGGGTCTTGGGGGTTAGGGCGAATGAGATTAGTAAGAATTCAGTACAGATGGGAAAGGACTGCTCAAATGACAAGCCTCGACACGCTTTGACATGGCTCTTGGCACCTGACAAGGCGCCAGCATGGCACTTGAAGGCATGGCACATGCAATAGGACAAGGCATCGCGCACATGTCAGAGGACATGGCATATGGCATATCAGTGCATGTGACGCCATCAGCCTGCAGCAGGAAGCCAGTGTCACACACGCAAGACGCCACTCCTGCAGCTCTTTTCACACACTTTGAGTTACCCCCACACCTCTTGAGCACACACGTGTATGCCGAGGGAAGGGTAGAAGGCAGAGTAAATGGGGGGAAAGGAACGAAGCAGGGAGAAAGGTGGAGGAATTGTGAGTAGGACTGGAAGGGCATGCTGTACGTGATTCTTGCCAAACTATCGTCTTATGAACGGTGAAAGAGGTTAGGAAGCAGACAGCGTCGAAATAGAGCAGGGGAGGCGATATGATGTGTTGCTGTGCGATCATCTATGTTCGAAAAGACGCAGCTAGGACGCTGCGTCCTGCGTCCGGACGCAGCGTCCAGACGCTAGGACGCAGGACGCGCGTCCAGACGCAGGACGCACGTCGAAAATTTTTTCGGGCAGCCCGGAAAAAAAAAACCGATCTTCCCCCTCCCCAACCCCAAATCGCCATTCAAAACCAGCCCACCCAACATTTCCCTAACAACTCAATCAAAATTGACTTTCACTCAAACCTCTCAACCACTTCAAATCTACGAATCCCAACCCTTGTGGCCCACCACCACCAAGCACATTTACCTTGGCAAGCTTTTGTGGCTTCTCATTATCCCCTCACCAATTCTCTTTCGTAAACCCATAGAGGTTTTAGGTCTTAGCTTAGCTTGCAACCTAAACTCCGCTATGGCTTCCTCGAGCATACTTTCTTCTTCCACCGCGTCTAAGAGTGTTGATGTTGACGTAGACACTCCCCCCAAGCGTTACCCTAAGGACGGGGTGGAAAAAAAACCGCAACAACCCGATCACCATATTTATAGGCATTTTTGGAGGTTCGATGATCCCGGCAAGAAGGGGCAGCAGTGCGAGTGCCTGTGGTGCGGAAAGACGTTCGCTTTTAGTAGTAGCCGATGCACTCAGCATCTCGCCGTTTGGAGTGATGCGAACGTGCGGCGCGATGGCGGAGCTGTGTGCGCGGATGTTCCTAAGCGCGTTTCCGACGCCATTCGCAACTCGAAGGACGCGAAGATGACGGCGTGTAAGGATAAGGAGAGGGCTTTGGAGGAGGCGCTCACGTCAGTGGGCGGCCAAGGCGGAGCGGGTCCGAAGCCAAAGAAGGGGCGGATGGAGGATTGGTACGGCGAGGGGGGGATGTCGGCGAAGCGTGTGGCAGACGATGCGATTTGCCTCTTCATCGCGGGGACGCGCACGGCGGAGCGCGTTTGCGAGCACCCCCTCTTCCTCAACATGCTGCGCGCCGTTAACGCCGCTGGTGGCGGCTACGTTCCGCCCAGGGCGCGCTACGTCGGAGGCGCCGGGTTGCTGGCGTGCAAGCAGCAAATTGAGAAGGGTTTGTCGCCCATTACGAAGTCGTGGAAGGAGACCAGCGTGACGATCGCCAGCGATATGATGAAGGACAAGAGCGGGCGCGCGCAGCTGAACGTCGTCTTCATCAACGCCAGTGGAGCGGTTTTCCAGGAGGCGTTCGACTGTAAGGCGGAGACAAAGACTGGTACGTTCATCGTGAGCGTCCTGCAGCCGCTGATTGAGAAGCTTGGACCGGAGCACGTCGTCGCGATTTGCACGGACGGCGGCAGCAACTACGTGTCCGCTGGCAAGCTGCTGCAGAAGAAGTACCCGCACATGGAGTTCGTCCCCTGCGCCACTCACGTGCTCGACCTGCTGTTGGAGGACTTTGGCGGCATGGATTGGGCGCAGGAGGTTGTGTCAGTTACCACCGACATGATCACGTTCCTGCGCAGCCACACTTGGACGCGTGCCTTCCTCCGGTGTCCCAAGCTGCACGGCGAGAAGAAGTCGCTGCAGCCGCTGCGACCGGCGGGCACACGCTTTGGGACGCAGTACATTGCGGTTTCACGCCTGCGGGAGATTCGCCAGCACCTGGTGTCGATGGCGACGCACAAGGACTGGGCCGAGAAGGGGAGGAAGCAGCAGACTGGAGCTACTTTTGAGAAGGTGGTGATGGATGTGGAGTGGTGGGGCAAGGTGGACACCTTCGTGAAGGTGATGGAGCTGCCGTACAAGTTGATGAGGAAGACGGATGGGCCAGCAAAGGGGATGATGGGGGCATTGTACGACATGATGCTGCAGCTGACGGTGGACCTGAAGGAGCTATTGGCAAGGGCGGATTGTAAGCTTGAGGAGTCGGAGAAGGAGGCGTTGATGGAGCATTTGAGGAGGCGATAGGATGAAAGTTTGGCCTGCCCTCTTCACGTGGTAGGCCAGATTCTTAACCCGGTCAACCAGGAGGAGGGGATCTACCTTAAGGACACAGAGTGCACCCGGGTGATGAAGGCGTGGCTGCAACGCTCGAGGGCCTTCGTCGACACGTATTGGAAGAAGGACGGCGAGCAAGAGGGTACGATGTTGGCGCTGCAGGAGGGGATGTTGGCGTACATTGAGGGCAGGGGGTGGTTTGGGTCGGAGTAGGCGGAAGCGGGCCGTGCGCAGCTGAAGGAGGGGAAGGGGGACATGGCGGCGTGGTGGAAGGTGAATGGGTGGGAGTACCCCGAACTGGCAGGCCTCGCGCGCCGTGCGGTGTCACAGGCCGTTTCCGCCTCTCCATGCGAGCGGGGATGGTCCACGTGGGATGGGGTGCACACGGCGCGCAGGAACAGGCTGGGGTCGGAGAAGGTGCGCGACCTGGTGTACGTTGCGCACAACTGGCCGGTTGTGCACGGCCACCACCAGGGCGCAGCTGGTGGAGCAGGGTCAAGTGGGGAAGTCTGGAGGGCAGGGGTGGTGGAGGGTAACATTCCCACCCCTCCCCTCCCCAAGGGATACAAGCTGGAGGAGGACAAGGAGAGGGAGGTGGACGAGGACGACCCGTGCGTCGACGAGTACAAGGAGCAGGAAGCGATGGACAAGGACGAGGAGGAGAAGGAGGGCGAGGAGGATGATGGGGATGAGTGATGGTAGAGTTGGGACAGGGCTGTGGTAGTTTAGTATGCATGGTTGTAATTTTTGAACTTAATGTGTGTGTGACCACCTTAAATGTGTGACGCGTGACCCACCTTAATCTTACATTTTGGGGTACAAATTTGTGGTTGGGGAAAATGTTGCATTGAAAGTGTGGTAGGTCCCCAACCCCCCCTCTCCCAAGCCCTGTACTACTTTTTTTTTTCCTGCCCGGAAGTTTTTTTTGCCCTGCCCGGGCTTGCGTCTTTTGGTGCGTCTTACAGGTCCAAGTACAGCATCCTGCGTCTGGACGCATGCGTCTGGACGCATGCGTCCAGGACGTAGGACGCGTCTTTTCGAACATAGGCGATCATACCCCCCAGAACATCTACGCCAACCACTGCGTGGCTTCTCGCAGTCACACATCAGCACATACGCACCAGTGCATGTAACCTTGTCAGCCTGCAGCACTAAGCCAGTGTTGCACACGCACAACGCCACTCCAACACTGTCCTTGATGCACTTGCCGTTGACGCCACACGCCTTCAGTGCGCATGTGTCTGAAGAAGGCGGGGAGAGGGGAAGGAGTTGGGCGGGTGAGGAGAGATTAAGAACAAAAGATGGAAGGGAAGTACTGTCCACGTGACAAGCCACAGTCTTAAATCATGAAGCTCGCACAGAGCCGTGGTGATGAGCAGCACTCACCAGCGGCAGCACTCACTACCAGCAGCAGTGTCTCACCAACACAGCCGGCAGGGGTCATGGAGAATCCAACGTTGCAGACGCAGGTGGCGCTGCCCCTGTCCTTCATGCACACCGCATTGGCGCCGCAGTTGCGCTGCACACACGAGTCTGGCAGATGGTTTCCAGAGAGACCAGAGAGAAAGAGAGGATTCAGGAGGGAAGGAACAAGAGGAAAGGAAGGGACGAGGAGAGGAAAAAACGAGGAGATGAAAAGGTGAGACGGAGCATGCACACGTGGAGAGCAACGAGAGGTGGGAGTGACCCACGTGACAACCGATGACTCATCAAGACAAGACTGGAGTGAGGCCGAGAGAATGGAATATGGGATGAGCAGTGAGAGGTGAGGTGAGTAGTGAGTGGTGAGTGGGAGGAGTGGTAAGAGGGGTGAGCGTCCGTCATACCCTTTGAGGGATTGAGGGCAAGGAGACGAGCAAGGGTGCGTTTGAGGCGGTGGTGAAGTTAGGCGGGTGACTTACGGTCAGCGGCATTGCTTGAAGCAGCTGTCAGCAGGCCGTGCGAATGGCGAATGGCGGCAGCCCTGGGCGCACAGGCTGAGCGCGCATGGGGGTAGGCGGGGTGGGAGGGAAGGTGGGGGGAGGGGAAAGAACGGAAGGAGAATGGGATGACGTCAGCGGGTGTTGCTTGTGGCTGGCAGCACTTGTGGTGCACCGGTGGTGCGGAAGTGTAGGGGGGACGGGGAGGGGAAAGGGGGGATGAGGGGGAAAAGAGGAACGGGGGAAGGCATGAGAGCACTGGAGAGCATGAGAGCACTGGAGAGCATGAGGTCATATCTGAGAGCATGAGAGAAACCATTGCAGTGAGCAAGAGGCCCAAGCTCCGCTTCACAGGCACGCTGTGCGAAGCCATGCTGGTGACGCTGAGCTGATGACGTTGAAGATGGCCGCAGCAGTCAGTCAACGGTGAGGCGAGAAGCACCAGCGGCGGCAGCGCTGCTGCCGGAGACAATGAGCCTCACACTCGTGTTGTGGTGGCGTGTCACGACAGGAGTAGAAGGAGAGGAGATGTGTGGAAAAGGAGAGCCGAGCGGCTTATGTATTCCTCAATACACCCCCCGCCGCTCCCCACCCTCCTCCCCCTCCCCCCCTTCCCCCCCCCCCCTTCCCCCCCCACCCTTCCCCCCCCCCCCCCCCCCCCCCCCTTCCCCCCCCCGTCCTCACCTTCCCCAGCCTCGCGGTCCGCGATAGACGTTGCCAGGGAGGAAGGGTGGGAAGGGAAGGGGGAGGAACTTCTCCCTTGAATGGGTTGGGAAACTTGCTGGCCTATCATGGTAAGGCGAACGCGCCTGTCACAGTCTAGTCACGGCGTGACTCGGCTCAATCGCAAGAGGTCGTGAAGCATTGCGAGGAGGGGGAGGACGATGGAGGTGGGGAGGGGAAAGGGAGCTGCGCGCGCGGATCGGCGCGTACGGACTGGGGGCTGCATCGCAGGTAACACAAAGGGGAAAATCAAAACGTGTGGTTGTGAGGCATTGCTTTTGTTTCTAGTGACTACAACAGTCATGTGAACCACTCGCCGAGATTGCCAAAAAACCTAGTCAATACCAACCTCAGGTAAAGGCTGACTACAGACAAGAGGAAGGCGCAAATGGGTGGCGGAACGAGAACACGACGAAGGGTAATCCCTCACTTCTCACCCTCTCGCCAGGTACTGTACTACGTGACAGCTGTGATACGCGGATGACCAGGTACATGCGATGTTTCATTGGTTGCGTAGATTACCTTAATCCGAGAGCCACCAATCCAATAGCGCATCAGCTTTTGGCGGCTGAAAGTGCCCAATGACCGTGGGGTGATCCTCAACCGCACAATCGGAAGGCAGTGCGATATTTGCAGACGGGAAACGGCAAGTTGTAAACAGTGTAAGTTGTCGTTTGCCCGGGAAACAAAGCGACCACCAGGAATGTAGACTTTCAAGCAACAGTAGTAAGAACCTGAGGCGTCCAGTAGGGACGACCTGAAATTCAAGCCTCGTCGTCTTTCACGTTGCGATATTGCAACGGGAAACGACAGTTAACGTTTGTCGTTTGCCTGGAACAAAGCATTCACCGCGAATGAAAACTTCAAGTTTCAAGCACAGTAAAACCTGTGGCATAAACAGCGGGGAAGACCTAATGGGATCAAAGCCTCTCGCCTTACGTGCAGGCGAGCCGCTTGAGATTGGTGTCCGCAGGGATTGATGTCTCCTACCCCACTCCACCTAGCGGAAACGTGCAGGTCTGGTGGGAGACAAGGTCACTGTGTGCTCTTGTGGGAAAGGCCGGCAGTTTTAGCGCTTGGCGTGGAGTGGCTAACAAAGTGCCCACACACATCGCCAATTTCATGCTCATAACCGAATCTGTCCTAGGCGCTCCTACCCCCTGGGGACAGTTTGGAGGTGACAAAACTGTCTATTGATTGAAAAGTCTCGGGTGCCTTGGCGCCACGTCCGGCGGAAGGCTAGCTGGGGGAATGAGAGAACAAGCTTCCGAGCCCTAGAGTGTAGACCCGGGGCTACCCAAGCGGCTTGTTATAAGTTTTACTCGAATGAGTGCGCGGAAGAATTGATAAAGAAGACGTGATTACAGCATGAGGAAACAATGAAGAAAACGAGAATCTATAGGGCAAAAATGTGCTAGGCGAGAACCTCTAGATGTGCGTGGCTCGGAAATGTCGCGATTGGTGCGGGGCGACTCGGAATTGGTTCGGTGCGAAAGTGTAGGCCGAGCCATCCTGACGCGAAGTGCTCGGGCTGTCCTCGCTAGGAGCAGCCTCTACAGTAATGAATGTATATTCATTACACTCTCCCACCTTCTAAATAAGGTGCCCTTATACTTAGCCGAGTCTTGCAGTAGCTTGAAAACTGCCGATCTTGGTTGAATCTTGATTCGACGGTGTAGAAGCCCGTTGACTTCAAGTCGACGCGAGGCTGACCAGTTGACCAGGCAAATTTTGAAATGGTCCTTGGCTTTGTCCCGGACGCGCCTGGTTGGCAGTTCTACCACGCCACCTCGCGTCGTGTCCTGGCCTCTCAGGACGTCACTTTTGACGAGTCCGTCCCCTACTACCGCCTCTTCCCCTACCGCACTGCCCCACTCCCCCCCCCGCCTCTCTTCCTGGCTCCAGGTGCTGAGGTACCAGACCCCCTCCCCCCTCAGGGTGCCGCTCCCTCAGGTGTGTCCCAGGTAGACCCGGGTGAGCCTGTCGAGGTAGCTGTTGACTCTCGTCCACTTGGGGGTGCTGAGCCTGGAGGTGCTGCGTCTGGGGGTGCTGAGCCTGGGAGTGCTGAGTCTGGAGGTGCGGAGCCTGGGGGTGCTGAGCCTGGGGGTAGTGAGCCTGACGGTGCTGAGTCTGCGGGTGCGGAGCCTGGGGGTGCTGAGTCTGGGGGTACTCCACCTGGAGGAGCCCTCTCCTCACAGCGGCTGCAGGAGCGGTACCTACAGTACTGCCGCCTCCGGAGAGGTACTGCTGGAGCTGGTCGCGGTGCTTCCCCTCCTGCCCGGGAGCTCCCCCCCCTCCAGCAGATCCGAGAGTGGTACACGAGGCGCT